TTGCAATTGCTGCTCCTGGTGTGAGGAATGCACTTCCCCAGATACCTGCATTGCTCACTCATCCATTCAGGCTGTGCTTACCAGTCACCTTCTCAGAGCACCCTCTCTTCCTCCAAAACTCCCTCTCCCCTTAATCTTCTTTGTTTTTATCTGTAGGACATCTACCACTTGATATATATATATATATATATATAGAGAGAGAGAGAGAGAGAGAGAGAGATTTGTTGTTTTGTTGTTGTTGTTTTTGTTGTTGTTGTTTGTGATAAGAGTCTCACTCTGTTGCCCAGGCTGGAGTGCAGTGGCGCAGTATCAGCTCACTACAACCTCTTCCTTCTGGGTTCAAGTGATTCTCTCACCTCAGCCTCCTGAGTAGCTGGGATTACAGGCGGGCGCCACAACAGCCAGCTAATTTTTTGTATTTTTAGTAGAGATGAGATTTCACCACGTTGGCCAGGCTGGCCTAGAACTTCTGACCTCAAGTGATCCGTGTGCCTCACCCTCCCAAAGTGCTGGGATTACAGGCATGAGCCACTGTGCCCAGCCCCGCCTGATGTATAAACAGGAATGTCAATATCTTGTCTATGGCCATACCACCCTGAACACTCACATCTCATCTTTTTTCTTTCTTTTTTTTTCCTTCAAATTTTTTGTGGAGATGGGGGGCCTCACTTTGCTGCCCAGGCTGATCTTGAGCTCCTGGCCTCAAGTTATCCTCCTGCCTTGGCCCCTCAAAGTGCCGAGATCACAGGAGTGAGCTACTGTGCCCAGCCCTCAGTCCCATCTATCTCCGTATATCAGTGTTTGTTGGTTGTCTCTTCCCATAGGATGTGGGATCCAGCCAGACACAGTGGCTCACACCTGCAATCTCAGCAGTTTGGGAGGCTGAAGTGGGCAGATCACTTGAGGTCAGGAGTTGAAGACCAGCCTGGCCAACATGGCAAGACCCTGTCTCTACAAAAGTTACAAAAATTAGCAGAGCATGATGGTGCACGCTTGTAATTCCAGCTACTTGGGAGGCTGAGGCAAAAGAATTGCTTGAACCTGGGAGGTGGGGGTTGCAGTGAGCCAAGAGTTCATCAGTGCACTGCAGCCTGGGTGACACAGCGAGATTCTGTCTCAAAAAAAAAAAAAAAAAAAAAAAGAACAGAATATGAGATCAACTGGGACTTGAATTATTTTCTTTCCTCATGCCTAGAATAGTGCCAGTTGAGACAGGAGCCCAGTAAATATGAAAGAATTCTGACTTCCTTGTCTCTGCCTCCATATCTATCAGATGCCAGAGCTTGTTGATTTCATCTAATCTGCATTTTGAATTTATCTCCTCCTCCTTTCCGCTGTCAGTGTCCTGGATCAGGCCCTCTTTGTTTGCCTGAAAAAGTACAAGCACCTCTCAATCTTTCTGACTCCAAGGTTACACCTCTCCAAAATAACCTGGCCATATTGGTCCTGTCACGTCCATCTTTAAATTCTTAGGTTGCCTTCCATTTCATTAATAAGTGAAAACCTACTTTTTCTTTCTTTTTTTTTTTTTTTGGAGACAGAGTCTCACTCTGTTCCCCAGGTTGGAGTGCAATGGCACGATCTCGGCTCACTGCAACCTCTGCCTCCCGAGTTCAAGCGATTCTCCCTGCCTCAGCCTCCTGAGTAGCTAATTTTTGTATTTTTGGTAGAGAGGGGGTTTCGCCATGTTGGCCAGGCTGGTCTCAAACTCCTGATTTCAGGTGATCCACCAGCCTCGGCCTCCCAAAGTGCTGGGATTACAGGCGTGGGCCACCGTGCCTGGCTGAAAACCTACCTTTTTTGAAAGATAGCAATGAGGGTTCACTATGTTACCCAGGGTGGTTTCAGATTCCTGGGCTTTTAAGCGATCCACACACCTCAGCTTCCCAAAGAACCTAACTTTTATATATTCAGCCTGTATTTATTGGTCACCTGTGTTCTCAAGACACTGTGGCAAGTACTGGTTAGAGTGATGATGAGACCCACTGGTCCTTACCCTCACAGTTTTTTCATTCATACACCTTCATTTTCTTTTCTTTCTTTTTTTTTTTTTTTTTTTTTTGAAACAGAGTCTCGCTCTGTGGCCCAGGCTGGAGTGGAGTGGCATGATCTTGGCTCACTACAATCTCTGCCTCCCAGGTTCATTCAAGCAATTCTCCTGCCTCAGCCTCCCAAGTAGCTGGATACAGGCACGCACCACTATGCCTGGCTAATTTTTATATTTTTAGTAGAGAGGGGGTTTCACCATGTTGGCCAGCCTGGTCTCGAACTCCTGACCTCAGGTGATTGGCCCACCTCGGCCTCCCAGAGTGCTGGGATGACAGGCGTGAGCGACTGCGCCCAGCCCGTACACCTTCATTTTCTAACCCCTGATGTCATCTCCAGCATTATCTGCCTCTAGATTCTAGAGCTAATTAAATTTAAATTTAGATTAATTAAAATCAAATAAAAACTTTAGTTTCTCAGCCATACTAGCCACATTTCATATGCTCAGTAGCCACCTATGACTACAATATTTACAGCACGGATTTGAAGATTTCCATCCTCACAGAACATCCTGTTGGACAGCACTTATCTAGACCTTTCCGCAAACTACACAACTCATTCCAAATCATTCTCAGTCTCCCAAACACACCATTCGCTTTCAGTCCAGTGTTTTTGCCATTGCATTTCACTGTGCTCGCAATATTCTCTGTCCCTTTTCTGCCTATTAAACCTCCCTGAGATTTCAGAACCCAATTCCTATTCTAGATTTTACAGAAAAGTTTTCTTGATACCATCCCCATCGATTAAGTTAGTCTTCCTTAGCTGGGCTCGGTAGCTCACATCTGTAATCCCAGCACTTTTGGAGGCCGAGGTAGGCAGATCACTTGAGCTCAGGAGTTCAAGACCAGCCTGGCCAACATGGCAAAACCATATCTGTACCAAAAATGCAAAAATTAGCCAGGTGTGGTGGTGCATGCCTGTGATCCTAGCTACTTGGGAGGCTGAGGTGGAAGGATCACTTGAGTCTGGGAGGCAGAGCTTGCAGTGATCCGAGACTGTGCCGCTGCACTCCAGCCTGGGTGACAGAGTGAAACCCCATTTCAAAAAAAAAAAAAAAAAAAAAAAGTATTTCTTTTGACCCACCCCCTATAGGAAGCTTCTTGCACCTCTAATTAGATCAGATTTAATACCCTTGTTAGGCCAGGCACAGTGGCTCATACCCTGCTAATCCCAACACTTTGGGAGGCCAGGGTGGGCGGATCACTTGAGGCAAGGAGTTCAAGACCAGCCTGGCCAACGTGGTGAAACCATGTCTCTACTAAAAATACAAAAATTCAGCTGGGCGTGGTGGTGTGCACCTGCACTCCCAGCTACTCAGGAGGTTGAGGCGGGAGAATCACTTGAACCTGGGAGGCAGACGTTGCAGTGAGCTGAGATTGCACCTCTGCACTGCAGCCTGGGCAACAGAGTGAAACCCTGTCTCAAAAGGGGGAAAAAAAAAACCCTCCTTAAAACTCTGACTTCTCATTCCTTTCAGACGTAGACCATTCACAGGACTTCAGACTCAGCAACTGCCAGCCTCAGTCAATGGGGATGTGATGTTCTGCAGAAAAGCAGTAGATGGTCAGAAGGTAGTGAGTTATCTCCATTGATTGTTCACAGTCAGTTATGAATTGAACTCCTTGTTCTCTTCCCCCTCTTCTCACTACTGTACTTGTCTTTTGTTTTGTTTCGTTTTTTGTGAGACAGAGTTTTACTTTTGTAGCCCGGGCTGGACTGCAATGGTGTGATCTCAGCTCACCACAACCTCTGCCTCTCAGGTTCGAGCAATTCTCCTGCCTCAGCCTCCTGAGTAGCTGAGATTACAGGCATGCACCACCACGCCCTGCCAATTTTTTGTACTTTTAGTTGAGATGGGGTTTCTCCATGTTGGTTAGGCAGGTCTCGAACTCCCGACCTCAGGTGATCCACCCGCCTTGGCCTCCCAAAGTGCTGGAATTACAGGTGTGAGCCACTGTGCCTGGCTGTCCAGTCTTAAAAAAAAAAAAAAAGAATGCAGTAGGGAGGGCTCAGATGAGAAATAAAGAGTGCTGGGCTAAGAGGCTTCTAGAAATTGAGTTCCCAGGGAGGGCAGTACTCTGGATGTGTGGATATGCAAGCAAGAGGCCTGTATTACTAGGGCTTTCTTGCTTCTGTCTGGTGAGTCGAACTGGGGCTGGAGGCATTGGCAGAGCCTATAGTATGCATGGTGTAGTCTCATTTTGGACTTGGAAGGAGGAAGTAGAGCCAGTGAGATACCCAGGAGGTTTTGCCTGTTGAGCCTAGAGAAGCTAGAAGACTTTGTTTAGGGATGTCTTTTACTCAAGATTTGGCCTGCATAGATGGTCTGTGTTCCTAGCCTGATGGTACTGTCCTCATCCTTATGCATCAAGTGAGTGTGAGTTGTAATATCCTTGCTGTAATTTGGAGCAGGTGGGAGCCTTCTAGGCCCCATCTAGGGCCAAGTTTAGCATCAACAAGATGGAGAACTATGTCCGCCATAATCCCTCCCTTGGTAGTGCCTGGGTTCTGTGTCAGTGCTGCAGTACATCTACTTTGAAACCATCTTTCTGCTTTTAGGTTCCTTACTGTTTAGGAAGAGACTGGGTTTTGTTAACTCTGCAGTTTTGTTTTGTTTTGTATTTTGTTTGTTTGTTTTGAGACCAAGTCTCGCTCTTTCGCCCAGGCTGGAGTGCAGTGGCACAGTCTCGGCTCACTGCAACCTCCACCTTTTAGGTTTGAGCAATTCTCGTGCCTCAGCCTCCCAAGGTGCTAGGATTACAGGCGTGAGCCACCATGCCTGGCCAACTCTGTAGTTCTTAATGTTAGTTCTTGTGTGGTAGGACATGGAGAGGCAGGAGAAGCAGATCCGAGACATTGGAAGTACAGTTCTTTTAAGCTCATCTATTTGGGAGTGCTGAGGCAAGCTCGGTTTATCAGAGGTTACCCCATCTCCCCCCATTTTGCTTTTTCAGGACTCTGCACTTGTCCAAGAGAAGAATCCAGAGAAATCAGAGCAGGTCAAATAGTTCTAAAAGCCATGGCCCAGGTATGTTGAAATTCCTTCTATCCTTAGAATAATCTGTCTTCACCACAGATTATATGGACACTGTGTTTTTTATCTTGGAACTTCCCTGTATCCTTTTCACAGTTCGTCCATTCCGGGAGATGAGTGATGGTACCCAAGTCCCTTGGTGGCCCTCTCCTCTCCAGCATTGTCCACGTGTCTGTAGTCCTCTTAGCAGAGCATAGGCTGGGCGTGGTGGCACATGCCTGTCATCTCAGCACTTTGGGAGGCTGAGGCGGGTGGATCGCTTGAGGCCAGGAGTTCGAGACCAGCCTGGACAACATGGTGAAACCCCGTCTCTACTAAAAATATAAAAATTAGCCAGGCGTGGTACTGCATACCTGTAGTCCCAGCTACTCAGGAGGCTGAGGCAGTAGAATCGTTTGAACCCGGGAGATGGAGGTTGTAGGGAGCCAAGATTGCCCCACTGCACTCCACCCTGGGAGACAGAACGAGACTCTGTCTAAATTAATAAATAAATAAATGCTCTTAGCAGAGCACCAGTACAGTAGAAATACCTTCTCTTGAGAGAAATATGAGCGTCTCCCTTATCATAACTGTGGTTGAAGGGGGCCAAAGATGAAATAAAATAGTTTCATCTTTTCCATTGTCTTGGGTGGTTTCTTTCTTCTGTGTTTTTGCTTTGTTTCGTTTTTTGAGACAGGGTTTCGCTCTGTCACCCAGACTGGAGCACAGTGGTGCAATCAAGGCTCACTGCAGCCTCAGCCTCCTGGGCTCAAGCCATCCTCCCACCTCAGCCTCCCAAGTAGCTAGGACCACAGCCACATGCCACCACTCCCAGCTAACTTTTTAAGTTTTTGTAGAGACCAGGTCTTACTGTGTTGCCCAGACTGGTCTCAAACTCTGGGGCTCACGCAGTCCTTCCACCTCAGCCTCCTAGTACTGGGATTACAGGCATGAGCCACGGCACCTGGATTCTTTATTCTATTTTTAAATGTTACCCCCTCTTGAAAAAATCACAAGACATTTAATACTGTCAAAAAATATATATATATATATATAGAGAGAGAGAGAGCTGGGCACAGTGGTGGTGGGTGCCTATAATCCCAGCTACTTGAGAGGCTGAGGTAGGAGAATCACTTGAACCTAGGAGGCCAAGGTTGTCATAAGCAGAGATCACGCCACTGCACTCCAGCTTGGGCGACACAGTGAGACTCTGTCTCACAAAATATATATATAGGCCGGGCCCGTGTGGTTGCTCACGCCTGTAATCACAGCACTTTGGGAGGCCGAGGCGGGTGGGTCGCGAGGTCAAGAGATCAAGACCATCCTGGTCAACATGGTGAAACTCCGTTTCTACTAAAAATACAGAAACTAGCTGGGTGCAGTGGCAGGTATCTGTAGTCCCAGCTACTCGGTAGGCTGAGGCAAGAGAATTGCTTGAACCTGGGAGCCGGAGGTTGCAGTGAGCTGAGATTGCACCACTGCACTCCAGCCTGGGCGACAGAGCGAGACCCCGTCTCAAAAAAAAAAAAAAAAAAAAAAAATTCTAACTTTCTTTTAGTTGGCCAATCATTAAAGATATTTACAAAAATGTAAAACAATGCCACTAAATTTTTTGATTTTGACAATAGAGTTATGTTTCATAAAATATATGTTATTGATATTAACAGGTAACAGGTTTGTTGTTAAAATATTTTTAAAATTTCTCAGCTGGATGCAGTGTCTGATACCTGTAATCCCAGCACTTTGGGAGGTTGAGGCAGACGGATCACCTGAGGTCAGGAGTTCGAGACCAGCCTGACAAACACGATGAAACTGTCTGTACTAAAAATACAAAAATTAGCCGGGCATGGTGGCACATGTGTGTAATTCCAGCTGCTCAGGAGACTGAGGCACGAGAATCACTTGAACCTGGGAGACAGAGGTTGCAGTGAGCCAAGATTGTATCACTGCACTCCAGACTGACTGATAGAATGAGACTGTCTCAAAAAAAAAAAAAAAAATTAAATTTCTTTCTTTTAATTTCTAAGGTGGGAAAATGTTGATAGATATAACCAGCATTAAGACAAGTTCTGGCCGGGCACAGTGGCTCACCCTGTAATTCCAACACTTTGGGAGGCCAAGGTAGGAGGATCGCTTGAGACCAGGAGTTCAAGACCAGCTGGGACAATGTAGTGAGACCCCATCTCTACAAACAAAAATTTAAATTTAAATTTAAAAACACAAAGTTAGGCATGGTGGCTCATGCCTGTAATCCCAGCACTTTGGGAGGCCAAGGCAGGTGAATTACCTGAGCTCAGGAGGACAAGACCAGCCTGCACAACATGGCAAAAGCCTGTCTCTACATAAAATATATATATACGAAATTTAGCTGGGTGCAATGGTGTGCCACCTGTAGTCCCAGCTACTCGGGAGGCTCAGGCAGGAGAATTGCTTGAGCCTGGGAGGCAGAGGTTGCAGTGAACCGACATCACACCACTGCACTGCAGCCTGGGCAACAGAGTTAGACACTGTCTCAAAAAAAAGAGAGAGAGAAAGAAGGAAAGAAATTCATTTAAAAGGGTGTTATGTTTTACCCAACATCAGGGTGTTTGCAGTAGAAGCCCACAGCCTTCTCTCTCCACGTAGACATGGTAGCAGTTGTAGGGATTGGTCTTGGTCTCTGTATGTGGTAACATCTGTTTTGTGAGACCTTTAGGAAGGGGCCGTGATTGGGAACGTTAGTGACGGAACACTCTTCAGTCTTGCAAGGATATGTATGAGAAATGAATAACCGTAAAATGGTCCATTTTAACGTTGAACATATGTGTTGGTTGTAGGTCACATTTATGTAACCTACAGCATATATGGAGGTATACCCTCCATCAGCTTTCTGATTTCAGGAACAAGCAGAAGTGGACAGTGAAGGAATATGAATATTAGCAAGCATATATCCTGAAGATTGTACACATCTTGTGTTTTTAATTTTTTTTTAATTTTAAATTTTTGTCAGTACATAGTAGGTGTGTGTATTTATGGAGTACATGAAATGTTGTGATACAGGCATGCAGTGTGAAATAAGCATATCATGAAGAATGGGATATCCAACCCCTCAAGCATTTATCCTTTGAGTTACAAACATTCCAATGACACTCTTTATTTTAAAATATACAGTTAGGCCAGGCACGGTGGCTCACACCTGTAATCCCAGCACTTTGGGAGGCCAAGGCAGGCAGATCATTTGAGATCAGGAGTTCAAGACCAGCCTGGCCAACATGAGGAAACCCCATCTCTACTGAAAAATACAAAAATTAGCTGGGTGTGGTGGTGGGTGCCTGTAACCCCAGCTACTCTGGAGACTGAGGCAGGAGAATGACTTGAACCCCACAGCAGAGGTTGCAGTGAGCTAAGATCATGCGACTGCACTCCAGCCTGGGTGACAGCAAAACTCCATCTCAAAAAAAAAAAGAAAAAAAAAAAGTACAATTAAGTTCTTATTGACTATAGTCAGCCTGTTGTGCTACCAAATAGTAGGTCTTATTCTTTCTATTTTTTGGACCCATTAACCATCCCCACCTCCCCCTCAGCCTCCCTGTGCCCTTCCCAGCCTTCAGTAATCATCCTTCCACTCTCTATGACCATGAGTTGAATTGTTTTGATTTTTAGATCCACAAATAAGTGAGAACATGCAGTTTGTCTCTCTGTGCCTGGCTTGTTTCATGTAGCATAATGACCTCCAGTTCCATTCATGTTGCGGATGACCAGATCTCATTCTTTTTGTGACTGAATAGTACTCTATTGTGTATATGTACCACATTTTCTTTATCCATTCATCTGTTGACAGACACTTGGGTTGATTCCAAATCTTGGCTATTGTGGACAGTGCTGCCGCAAACATGGAGTGCAGATATCTCTTCCATATACTGATTTTCTTTCTTTTCTTTTCTTTTCTTTTTTTTTTTTTTGAGACGGAATTTCGTTCTTGTTGCCCAAGCCGGCAGTGGCACAATCTCGGCTCACTGCAACCTCCACCTCCTGGGTTCAAGCGATTCTCCTGCCTCAGCCTCCCAAGTAGCTGGGATTACAGGCGTACACCACCATGCCTAGCTAACTTTTTGTATTTTTAGTTGAAATGGGGTTTCACCATGTTGGCCAGGCTGGTCTGGAACTCTTGACCTCAGGTGATCCGCCCACCTTGGCCTCCCAAAGTGCTGGGATTACAGGCATGAGCCACCACGCCTGGACTACTAATTTCCTTTCTTGTATATACCCAGCAGTGGTATTGCTGGACCACAGGGTAGCTCCATTTTTAGTTTTTTGAGGAACCTCCAAACTGTTCTCCATAGTGATTTACATTCACTAATTTTACATTCCCAACAAAGTGTCCAAGGGTTCCCTTCTGTTCACATCCTCACTAGCATTTGTTATTGCCTTTTAGATATAAACCACTTTAACATACACATCTTATTTAAGCTAAGTGCACAAAAATAATGGAATCAACGTATCTTACAAGACATAACCTACAATAGTATGCAACCAATAACAGTCTGTGTCTTTCTGCCTGCCTGCCTGCCCTCGTTTCTAACTTCCTTCTCTCTTCCTTATTTCATTTTTATTTATTTATTTATATTGTTTTTGAGATGGGGTCTTGCTCTGTTGCCCAGGCTGGAGTGCAGTGGCGCAATCTCAACTCACTGCAATCTCCACCTACCAGGTTCAAGCGATTCTCCTGCCTCAGCCTCCCTAGTAGCTGGGACTACAGGCGTGCACCATCATGCCCAGCTGATTTCTTTTTTGAGGTTTTTTTTTTTTTTTTTTTTTTGAGACGGAGTCTTGCTCTGTCGCCCGGGCTGGAGTGCAGTGGCCGGATCTCAGCTCACTGCAAGCTCCGCCTCCCGGGTTTACGCCATTCTCCTGCCTCAGCCTCCCGAGTAGCGGGGACTACAGGCGCCCGCCACCTCGCCCGGCTAGTTTTTGTGTGTGTGTTTTTAGTAGAGACGGGGTTTCACTGTGTTAGCCAGGATGGTCTCGATCTCCTG